TGCGGCCGCTGCGCAGGGGGACGGGGGAGAAAGCTGAAGCAGAAACTACCGTTGTTAAAAGAAATGTGTTTAACTTTGAAAATGTGGGCGCAATATTAATTGTCAAAAACTCCAGCGAACCATTAGTTCATTTTGCTCAAATAGAAATAGAGGCCTGCCTCTAATTCTGGCCCTCCTTCCAATGAAGGCCTGGAGCTTGATGAGCTTGAGTCAAATACAGGCCCGGGCCTGTATTAGAGGATTTACGGTATGTGCATTTCTTCTTCTTTTAACTCCACATTAAATACATGACTGCTTCATGATGTCACAATTGACAGCAAAATAGTTACATGTTCAATGCAATTAAATAAAAGGCTGTGACACTGTGTGACACCGATATGTTTGATGGATAAATGTGTTTGTTCTTTCATCTAAAATGAAATGTTCCTACCAGAAGAAGTCTGGACTTAAGGTTTGGGATCTAAAGCACTTACTCACAAAAAATATTATATAATTACCAGGATGGACATTCAAGTGTCAGAAATCCTGATGTCAAAAGAACACATTTTGAATTTATTAAAATGCACTATAATAAATAAAAAAAGAACAGCAACATTTTTTGCAACATCTATGATAGCTTCCAGTCATGTTTTCCTAGAGCTCATTCTACTGAAACAGCTCTTTTTAGAGTCTCTAATGACCTTCTGACTCACAGTGATGCAGGGGACTGTTCTGTTCTGGTCCTGCTGGACCTGACTGCAGCCTTAGACACTGTTGACCATCACCTGCTACTGGAGAGGCTGAGAGACTGGGTAGGCCAGAGAGATGTAAGCACCACCATATGTCATAAAGTGACTGATGACGTTATGATTTATGACACCCCTTTTGATCTATCTGTCAAGTTGTGATTTATAATCCTTTGACGTTTGATTTATTATCCCCTTCAATGACCCTTCAATAACCCTTTGATGACTCTTTAATGACCCCTTTTGTTTTATTAGGTCTTTGATCTTTGTGATTTATGATTCGATGATGTAAAGCAACCCGTCCTTTGACCCAAGGCCTGTAACCCACCCACCCACATACCTGCTTTCAGAATGTTTTTGATCTTTACGTCAAGTAAGGATTTACAATGCAAGGAAGTCCCCTCACCTTTTTCTGCACTCCTCCCCACTGTAGTGGTGAGGATTGACTAAATATTTATTAACAACACATTCTCACACCCTAAGCGTTGGAAACAAACGCTTGGTCAGCCACCCTCCACGTCAGACCCCAGACGCCAAAAGTGCCCTTTTTCGTTACTTATGTGCGAAAAGGGGTTTTTCCCTTTTGTAACTGCAGATCCCAATGCAGCGTAAAACTGACGTGATGGGATATCCGCTGATGTGGCACAGAACCAGCTCATTTAACCGCACCTAAACCTTAACGTTTCGCTATTTATAACCTTCCCCTCTCCCTCATACTAACCTTAACCCTCTTGCTACCTAAAACGTTACTCTCACTGTGATCAAACGTTTGTTTCCCATGCATACTGACTCTGACAGTCAGAGTCTGACTGTGAGTTTTCGTATTTGCCGCCCAAGGGGAACGTTAGAACATACCATCTGGCGAGGGGGAGGTTACACATACCCTCTACTTTTAACCTCCACCGTGGTAGTTGAAACCTCCCCCTCGCGTTGACTCGGTCCAAACTCGACCAATTACGAGGCGGCTCCCGCCGTTCACTTCATAGAGCCGGCTTTTAGAGCAACCGACACTTCACTAACGTGTTCGCTGGCAAGATGGTTAAGGTTAGGATAGGGGTGAGGGGAAGGTTAAATAAGAGGATAAGGTTAAGGGGAGGTACAATGAGCTTGTTTGGTGCCCTGGCTGCGGACATCCCATCACGTCAGTGTAACGCTGCATTGGGATGCAACGGTAGCGGACATCCCATCGCTTCAGCTTTACACTGCATTGGGATCTGCAGTCAAATAAGGGAAAAACCCCTTTTCGCACATAAGTAACGAAAAAGGGCACTTTTGGCGTCAGGGGTCTGACGTGGAGGGTGGCTGACCAAGCGTTTGTTTTTGACGCGCTGGGAGTGAGAACGTGTTGTTATTAAATGACCGATAAGATGTGATATTCCATATATATGAATCATCAATCTGATTGGTCTTTGAATATTTGACCTAATATTCTTTTAGGTTGTTTGACTATTCCGGGATTACAGACTTCATAAAGAAATTCCAGACAGAGTCCAAAATATAGTTTATTTTTCCAAACTAAGTGATTATACATGACAAAATATGAATAAAATGATGGTTGTAAAGATAACAAGACAATGGGTGAAATGATGTAATGTAAGCTAGATGTTTTAGCAGATCCTTGAACGTTTTTGAGAGAGCTTGTGATGCCTGGGTTGCAAAATCTGTTTGACTGTATGGTTTGATAAACTATAGATTGTTCATAAAACCATCCAACGCGATTTGTGCCGAGTATACGAACCCTTTGTGCTGAAGGTCCCTGTGCGATCTAGAGGGTCAAGAGGTCGGGATGGACACTGCCTGTAGAGGGGACTTCTGAGTAACCAAACTCGTTGTTCAGCTCCGAGCACCACCCGTCTGAGACACCTTCCAGGTGACGGCAGGAAGCTGGTGTATCTATTTTTTGTCTGAGGCTGTTTGGTGGCTCTTAAAAGAGCCTTTGTGTCTGATATCACTCACAAGCGTTGCTGAGAGATGTTTTGACTTGAGGTCAAAAAGAGGATGGTTCCAAATGCTTGCTCACCGGTGGACCAAACCAGGAGAAAGCGGGAGAACTGAGGAATCAGGAAGTGGTCTCTGTACTTATTAAATGTTGTTTACAAATTTAGACAAATCAGAATTTGACAAGTTTAAAGGTGACCAAAATACCTCAGATGATCACTCCTTCACTCAGATACTCAGAGGTTAACTCTTATTGTGGAGTGAAAATGTTATAACATTTATTTGGAGCAAAATGTGTTAAACATTAACTCATTCGCTGCCAGCCGTTTCGTGATGGGTGAAGCCCTTCGCTGCCAGCGTTTCTCACCGTTTTTACTATTTTTTTTAAGAGTCACAGAACGTCGAAGTGCTAGGATGATGTCGACGCCAAAACAAAGTGGAGACTCACCTCTTACATCAGGAAGAATCTGTGTGTTTTGAGCTTTATCCACTCATTCATAATCCATTGTTGAATTGTGATCGGCAGAAGCTTTTCCGGTTCGCGCCTCACTTTTTTTTACAGCAGCGGCCCAAAACGATCTCCTAACACAAGGATTTTCTGCTTCCTGATCGCGTGATGTGTGACGTATGCAGATGAAGACCGGCTTTAGAGCTGAGATGTTTGTTCTCACGGTGCGGAGGCTCGTTCCGATGCCCACACAGTAAAGAAAAAAAAGCAAATCATTGGCATTGAACGGTTAGATTTAAAATGACGACTTTAGTCGTCAATGACACTGAATGAGTTAATAAAAATTTTGTTATGATTGTGTTCACACTGGTACACTCACAGAAATATTTAACCCTAAAACTTAAGATTTATGTAATTTTTTTACATGACAAATTCCCATTTACTTTTTTTAGGTAATTTTTAGACAAACCTACCAAATAAACTTTACATGATGCATATTCATTAGTGTAATAAAGCCTATTTAATTGAAATGCATAATGCTCAAGTTTATGTATTTAGTATTAATAAAGTATAATTACTCTAAATTAATAATAATGAAGGTATTTATTTCAAATACATAAATAATATTGTTTGAAATGCATACAAATGAGGTTACCTATGCCAGATAAATAGCATATATTTATTTGAATTACATGTCATTTATGCTTATGTAATCAACCACACCATTCAAAATGCATAATATTTATTTAATTATTTTTCATTTAGTACAATGATGATGTACAATGTACAATGATTAGCATTAAAGCCTCTCAACATCCATGACATGAAACTCAAAAGGACAGAACGTATCCTTGTGGTCCACTTTGTACATGTATTAATAAAAAAAAAATTCAAACACTTCCATCTTTCTAATACATCTCACTCCTCTCCATTGCCCCTCATCCATATTTTTTCTCCATCCAGAGTACTACATGAGTGACTAAACTGTAGAAATAACCTAATGAATTAAACATGAGGAAAAGAAATACTAACAAGTTTAAAAAATGTAGAAAATGTCAGGTAATTCAGCTCATCAGAGCAAAGTGCTAAACTGCCCATCTACACCACACATACTCTCTACTTGTGGTCTTTCAGTCTGTTCAGTTTTGTTTAGCTGCTTTGTTTTGTATGTTGCAATAATACAACATAGGGCCTTATTATGAATGTACACATCAAGCTTTTATTTAAATACATAACGAAAACGTCAATTAAAGCTATACCCTATATCTTAGTAATTTTTCCATCAGAACTATGTTTGACAGGTTTACATTCAAAATAAGTCCCTATGTTTAACTATGGCCATAGTTTCCATTCAATATTAGAAAAACAGGCTTTGGTATGAACTGAAGCACTTTTTTAGAACAATATCTTTTTGAACACTTAACTAGCGTCTACTGAATTTATAAACAATTCGAAAAATTCTGGTTTGAGTTTTGGGAACAACTTTGCCAGCCAACTCACTTTAGAAACTACCCATCTATGAACCCACCTACAAAGCCACACTGATACATTTCCCTGTTAAAGGCTTGGAGACAAAATAAATAAATAAATAAATAAACTTTACAGACACACAATAATCAACAGGAATTTCCCTGACACACCCTTTAAGAACTAATGGATTCATTTCAGCACAAGATCCAGTCTGACTGGGAAATAACATGAGACACATTATGTAGGGGCTGTGTAAGTGCATTACTGTCAGCCATATCACTGGAGCAATTTGAGTTTCAGTGTCTACACTTTTGGTGACAGTTTGGTTGAGTCCAGGTCCATCAGGATTTTCTGGTACACCTCGAATGTACGCTTCAGGTTTTTTGGATACCTCAAGTTGAGTGCATAGATCAGTCCATAAAGCGTCACACAGGCATGGCTGACACTCTGCAGGCTATGGAGAACTTCCACGCCTTCCAGCACAACACCAACATCAGCAAAGCTTCCATCACCTGGACCATCAGGACCATGACCCTCTGCTCGGACTGTGTAGATGCCCATGTAATGTCTGCCTCAGCCTCTCTGGAATCAATGTCCTGAAACATAAAAAGAACAGAACAATTAGTTGTGCGACCTTAACCTGGACTCCCAAAATGTAAGCAGCTCATCCTTAGGCCAACTGAGTGTTAATTTGAAAATAAAGCACGGCATACATGCGTTCATGAGAATGAGATGGATGCAAGTTCATGGTAACAATGACCTTAAGACCTCTGATCACCACCTAAAAGCCTGGGGGGAAAAATAGTCATTAGGATGAATTTTGTGTTGACTATTCACACCCCAACTTTCAAACTGTGCCATTTTTTCCATCAAGGTGACAACAATTAAAATGTGAGACAAATCCTTTGAAGTAGTACTCTTGTTCTCACGTGTTTATGGGTTGATTCTCTGCTTAGGGTAAGGTTCTGCGCTTCGTTAAGACGGAGGGATTTCCGGGGACACTGCTCTTTTCCCAATGAAGCCTTTGACCTGCCATAAAAAAATCAGTCAACAAAACACAAACTAAAAATGCACAGAGATATGAAAATACAGAACCAAGAACCCTCACTGATTTTGTTCAGAGATCAGTGATATAAATACGGAGCCATTGGCTGTAAGACCCAAGCAGGAACTGGTTGTTGATGCTGGGAAAATGGACTGAAGGAGGCAAACCTTTCCAACATCTCCACCCTTTCCTATAGCCTCTGCTACTTCTATTTACCTCCTTTCTCTTCTAAGCTGTTTTAGGGATACCGTTTCTCTCTCTCCTTCCCATCCTCTTTGGAATAATGCACTTGAAACAAATCATGCTTTCTACTACACTACTTTATGACTTACCTCTTGACTTCTGACTTTGGCTTTACTGACTGCCTTAGATCCTCAGATGCCTTTTGAAAGAGAAAAACTATTATCCCATTGTTTCTCTCCACAGACAGCAAGGTATGCTAATGGTGGAAGACAGAAATTACATTATCTTTCTAAACTACATTGAAGAAAAAAATTAAAATAACCCATTAAGACTTAATTTGACACCTTTATAAAATCCCATTCTCAATGTATTTGTGAAGTTACTATTGAGATAAGTGAGTATGACAGAAGTAAAGATACAGAAGGAGAGAGGGAGAGGACAGTAGGGGACAACAGTGAAAGAACTGGGGGGAGAGAAGAAGAGACACCAAGAGGAGACGGATGGAGACACAAAACGTGTGAGGGGAAGACTGAGTTAAATGGAGAACGTCTGATCAGTCTTACACTTGTTAGAATTCCAATGAACATGTCCACATACTTCACATATCTTCAAAGAAGACAAGAAGGCTTCCTTCTGTATGATGTTCTCAAGACGTTGGAGTTCATAAGCAGATAGTCCACAGCATGTATCCTATGATACTCCCCAAACAAACACAGTAGTAACCAACTGATCACAACCAAGAATCAAAATGACCTGACATTATCTGAAAGGCATTTCTTGCTAAACACTTCCAAAAATCAATGTCAATACAATTAAAACTGCTGGCTCATAAGAACAGTCAAGCGTCTGTGTCCTCACCTTGTTGTTTAGGTGAGAGATGTCATCCCTGGCATCGTGGGGGCGTATAGGTGCCAGGACCCATCCAACTTTATCCTCTCGACCTAGTGGATTTACTTCCTACAAAGGGAAAGTTCTACCACCACTTGCATTGGGGGGAATTTTTCATTTTAAACAACCCAACTGACTCAATGATACTGTCGGTGGTCAAGGTCAATGTATCCCCATTTCCATCCCATTCTCATGAATGCCACATGTTATCAGGTATGTCTAGATAGAAATGAATTACATCTGGCCAAAAGCACAGTAGGCTGGCATGCATACCACGTTTCTTTAACCAGTGTGTCCAGGTCTTCATTGAGGTAGATGCTGAGACAGCTCAGCACACAATCTCGCCTCACGTTGATGTCTTCATTCTGGGAAGAAAAAAAAAGTTATAATTCCATGCTTGTCAGTGTTGGAGATATAACACACAGGTGCTGAGGCTAACAAAGTCACTGACAGTTCCCCACTTGATCATCCCAAATTGTTTTACTCTACTCTGGTGATGCTCACAAAGGTGTAAGCCCATTAAATAAACAGCTATTTTGAAAGGGGCCAGAAAACATATTTAACATAGGAGCTGTCCTATACAGCCGAGTCAAACAAACCATATCATATTAGATAAATAAAAATAAAAACTTACATTATCCATCTGGGCCATTATGGCTGCCAACTTTCTTTCTGCTGCTCCAACTTTGGAATTAAAAACCTTCATCAGGTTGTCGGTCTGACGGTCCAGTTCTCCAAGGAATTTGGAGGTCAGAGGTATAGTTGTCAGTCGCATAAACTCCAAGTTAATCTGTAGAAGACAACACAGACAGGATAGAGATTTTAACAGTTTGTAAAATAGACCAAGTTATTACACTTCAGATTCACACTTACCTCACTGACATCAAACAGTGCTGGCCATCTGCTTTGGAACTCTGGAATTGGTGGCTCCTGGAGAACCTCCTGCCTCCTGATTGAGAAGGTATATGTTGCCACATGAAGGTGAGAACGCGAGATTGGAGGAGAAGGCAGAAAAAGAGTTAGCTATCTGAAAACAAGAACATAAGTGAAAAGAAAAAATAAGTTTAATTGCATAGTATGAATCACAGAAATGCCATATTTTGCATTAAAACTGCATAATTTTGCTATAACAAGTCTGCTCCTTCCAAAACAACCCCACAAAGTTCTCAAATTTAACTTTAAGCAAACTGTAAGTTAATGCTACAGAGCAGGCTAACTTGTTACATATTTTAATAGGTTAAATATTGTGGACAAAAAGAACGCTTGCTAAACTAATGATTTTGCTATTTGTCCTTTTAACCGCCATGATAACATGCCAATTACAACTGCCAAGGGTTCGTTTAATCAAGTATTAAACTGGATAGACAAGCTAGCGAAGGTGAAAAAGCTAGCTTATTAGCTATAATGCTAGCGGGAAACAGCATTGTCCTGTAAAGCTACGTAGCCAGGATATAACTGTATAAAATAAACACAAACAACAAAATGTTATCACAAACGCAAGCACTCGACACCCTATGGCAAAAAAAAAATCTTTATGTACATACAAGACACTCCTTAGAGAGAATGTTACACTTACCATCACATGGAGAACGCTACGATGCTACTCATGAGCGCGGGCGGGTGTGCAGAGGAAGTGCAAGACATTGTTTCCGGTTTCCCAAATTCACTTTTCATAACTTTAGGTTACTGTCGTAACCCCGGTTCTCTGAGTAACATGAGTGAGATGTCTCACTATGGGATACGCCCCTCCGCGGATTCCTCAGAAGCACTTATCTCAATACGCCAATCCTGATTGGCCAGTGACCGTGACGTACGCGTCCCCCTGCTACTATAAGTAGCAAGCGTCCCAACGCACGCACTATTCAAGATAAACACCTCTTCTCGCTTCGCCCAGCAAGAAGGGTTGTCTGGTGAGACATCTCACTCATGTTACTCAGAGAACCGGGGTTACGACAGTAACCTAAAGTTCTCTTTCTTAACATTCGTTTCGATGTCTCACTATGGGATATGGAGACTCCCGTATTGCCAGACAGCTTATCCAGCGATCACCAACCTACAAGGATACGTCTTGGCCCGCCAAAGACCCCACACTCAGAATCGTGTGAGTCATTGCAGGGACCGAAACATCAAGCTTATAGAAGCGTGCAAATGCAAGTGGAGAAGCCCAACTTGCTGCAGCACAAATCTCCTGGATTGACAGCCCCCGAAAAAGGGCCCAAGAAGCAGACAGGCCCCTAGTAGAATGGGCCCTGAGCCCAACAGGTGCCTGAATGCCCTGACAGGAGTAAGCCATAGAAATAGCCTCCACAATCCAGTGGGAAAGCCGCTGCTTTGTGACGGGTTTCCCCTTACGAGGCCCACCCCATGACACAAAAAGCTGGTCCCCCCTGCGAAGGTTCTCCGTCCGATTCACATACTCCTTGAGCGCGCGAATCGGACACAGCTTGTGCCACCACTCCTCCTCAGGAGAGGAGAAGGGTGGTGGGTAGAAAGCTGTGAGGATAATAGGAGAAAAGGAGCCCACCAGCTTAGGCACAAAGGCAGGGTTGGGCTTCAAGGACACCTTCATGTCACCTGGTGCAAACTGGGTGCAGGATGGGTGCACAGAGAGAGCCTGTAAGTCACTAACTTGCTTTGCAGATACCAAAGCCAGGAGTAGCACCACCTTAAGAGACAGGATCTTAAGGTCCAGGCCGTCCATAGGCTCAAATGGAGGCCCGGAGAGGGCAGACAGCACCAAGGACAGATCCCATGAGGGCACCAGGGGTCGAGACACAGGGAGAAGCCTGCATGCGCCCTTCATGAAGCTACACACCAGGGGGTGTTGACCTGCCAATTTCTTCCCAAAACCCAAGTGTCGGGCGGAAATGGCTGCTAGGTACACTTTAATGGTGGAGAAAGCCTTCTTCCCATCCAACAAGTCTTGCAGGAAAGACAGAATGACATTCACCGGGCATTGGAGGGGTGAGACCTCCCTGCCCTGACACCAGGCTTCAAACACCCTCCATTTACAGTCTTATAGGGACCTAGTGGAGGGGGCCCTAGCATTCTGAATGGTTCGAATGACTGCCTGGGGCAGCTCTGCTGACACTAGCCCGCACCCCTCAGGGGCCAGGCCCACAGGGCCAGCCGTTCTGGATGAGGGTGGAAGATCGAGCCTCCCGCTTGGGACACCAGGTCCCTGCGAAGCGGCAGTTTCCAAGGTTGGCCCTCCAGGAGCTGGAAAATGTCCGCCACCCAATGCATGGCTGGCCAGTATGGGGCCACCAGAATGAGAGTGTGGCGCTGGGTTCGTACCCTCAGCAAGGTGGATGGTATCAGGGCCACTGGGGGGAAAAGCGTAAAGCAGACCCCGTGGCCAGTCGTGCGCCAGCGCGTCCACGCCGAGTGGAGCGTCTTGGTCGCGCAGGGAGAAGAACAGAGGACACTGAGCATTCTCCTTGGAGGCAAAAAGATCCACTACGCCTGTGCCGAACCGGATCCAAATCTGTTCCAACACTGCTGGATGCTGGTTCCAATCCCCGTACATGGGTGTCCCTCTGGACAACAGATCCGCCCCCCGATTCAGAACACCCAGGACGTGGGTGGCTCTGATTGAGAGGAGATGCCTGCTGCACCATAGGATCAGTCTGCGTGCCAGCGTGTGTAACCGCATGGAGCGCAGCCCCCCCCTGGTGGTTTATATATGCCACAGTCGTGGTGTTGTCTGTTCTCACTAGGACATGATGGCCGGAGAGAAAATGCAGGAAGCGCCTCAGGGCCAGAAAGACCGCGAGGAGTTCCAGATAATTTATGTGTGTCCCCCAGAGCTCTCTGCTCCACACACCCCTGACAGAGCGACCCTCCAGGAGCCCCCCCTAACCTGACAGGCTCGCATCTGTCGTGACCACTTTCCTCACGAGAACCAACCCCAAAGGCACCCCCTGTGCCAAGAGGGAGGGGTGACGCCAACAGCGGAGCGCCGCGACGCACGCTGCAGAGACCATCACCCTGCGCGCTCTGTGGCGCACTGGAGAGAGACCCAGAGAAGCCACCCAGCGTTGAAAATCTCTCATGTGTAGACGGCCGAGTGGTACCACTGAAATAGCTGACGCCATGAGACCCAAAAGCCTGAGGCATAACGCAAACCGCACCGAACTGTGTAGGCGGAAGCGCGCCAGGCAGAGCGAGAGCTCGTCCACGCGCGGTGTCGAGAGACGGGCCGTGAACGCCCCTGAGTCCAGATTCAGACCTAGAAAGGTTATTTTCTGGGAGGGGAGTAAAGCGCTTTTCTGCCAGTTTATTCTGAAACCCAGACCACACAAGTGACGGATCACAACCAGCGTGTTTGACGCTGCCTCCTCTCTGGACCGTGCCAGCAGGAGCCAGTCGTCTAAATACGTGGCCAGCCGAATGCCCCTCCCTCTCAGAGGGGCGATCGCCGCCTCCGTACACCTGACAAACACCCTCGGGCTCAGCGAGAGGCCGAATGGGAGCACGGTGTATTCGTAACACACTCCCTGAAAGGCAAACCTCAGAAATTTCCTGTGTGGAGGGTACACGGGAATATGAAAGTATGCGTCCCTCAGGTCGATTGAGGTGAACCAGTCGTTCTGGTGAATCAGACGCAAAAGGGATGAGAGCGTGAGCTTTTTGAATCTGTACTTTCTGAGGCATCGGTTTAGGGCCCTCAGATCCAGGATCGGGCGAATCCCGGTCCCCCCCCCCCCCCCCCCCCCCCCCCATTTCGGGACCAGGAAGTACCTGGAGTGGAAACTGCTCTGAGACCGATCGGGAGGCACAATGCATATCGCCCCCTTCTCCAGCAGGGAGGAGATTTCTCCCTGAAGGATGTGAGCTGACGACCCCTGGGCGTGGGAGAACACTACGCCGGAGAATCGAGGAGGAACTGAGACGAATTGGAGCCTGTAACCTCTCGAAATTGTTCTTATCACCCAATGTGAAGCAGAAACCGCTGTCCATTCCTCCATGTGAGTGGAGAGCGGTGACACAGGCGTGACACACGGAGCACCAGCTCCCTCCAGAGGTTGTGGGGCAGCAGTGCTCGTGGCAACTACTGCGCATGCGCGGGGGCTTTGTGCTTTGACGGCCCAGGTGTACGGGGACGACCCGTGGCTGGCTAGAAAGTCCGCCAGGGGCCGCCCCCGTCTGCGACCGCTCATGGGTAACATTTTTATTGATTTTTGCTGCGCCCTTGACATTTTGTCTGGATGCGGCAGCGAACGTTTTAATGCTCCTTGAGCGTGACATGTTTGTAAAAAACAACAATGTGAGTGCTTGTGACGTGTGTTCTGAGCCGGCACAGCCGGCTGCACGTCCTGGCCCCACCCTGGACCGCTCGGAGACTCTGCCGGAGGGTTTCGTGAGGGGGGGAGAAAGCACCATGGCAACGTTGAACAGGAGGTGCTGGCGAACGGGGAACTGCCAGCTGCAGCGTCGGGAGGGAACGAACTCCGTCAGGCTGCCCTCTTCTTCTTCCTCACCTGCTGAACGCCGTGTCTGGTGGATTGTCCCGGCGGCGGAGCAGCTTGGTTGCCGGATCGTTGAGGCCACACTGGTCAAGGCGCTGAGCCCGAGGGAGCTGGTTGGACAGCTTGAGGCTTCGGGCGCTTTGGGATCCGGAACTGAGGCTGGGCTCGGGGTATTGCCTGAAGAAGGTTCAGCCGAGCCGGCAGTGCCGGTGAAGGCTTACGGGGAAGGCAGAGATGAAGGGCATCATCCTCTTTCTTTTTGGCCTCACACCGTTGCTGCATCGATGCCAGGGCAGAGCCGAAAATGCCTTCAGGCACGATTGGCATGTCCAAAATGTCCTCCTTCTCTCTATCAGAGAGGTTGGTGAGGTTCAGCCATCGTGCACGTTCCTGAAGCACCATCATGCCCATAGCTTTCGCCGTAGCCTGGACCGCGCAGCGCTGCACCTGCAGGCAGATGTCGGTCAGTACGGTGATTTCCTCCCACACCTCCG